ACAGGGTTTTCACTTCTCACTATACGGTTTTGAGTTATGGAACTTTTTTTTTTTTTTTGAGAGATTTTTCACTGTAGGGCACGTGCGCTCGCCAGACAGACAGAGAGAGACATAGAGACAGAAAGCGAGAAATCACCCCCCAGGGGGGATGGTCACGCTGCAATCCCTTCTCCTCCATTCTCCTCTTGGGATCTTCGGCACGCACGCACATGCGCCTGGCATGAGTTTTAAGCCACCGGGTCTGGGACACGAACCGTGGTCGACTACGTGGGAGTCCAGCGACATGGCCATTACGCTAACTGCTGGTTCCCGAGCTATGGAACTCTTTTTGAACAGCAAGCAGTAATAGTTTAATCAGAAAAAAAAAAAAATTAAAAAATTCCCATTCTGAAGATAACTAACTATTCCAAACAGATGCAAAGTACTATTGGCCCTCCGAGAAAAGCAAGCAGAATAAAACCCCCTTGCCACGAGAATGCACTGGAACAAAATGCACGTCAAGTCTGGGGAAGAGGAAATACCAGGTGGGAGTTTCACAGGCCTCAGGCCCGAGCCCCAGTGTAACCCTCAGCCCTCCCAGTCGTGGGCCCCCGGAGACCGAGGGGAACAGCGCTGCCAGGCCCCGCACACGGCTGTTGGCAGTCTTTCCTCCTCACCGCAGCACCCGAAGGAAGGATGACTGCTATTCCCATTTGACGGCTGGGGAAACAGGCCTGGCCCGGGGAGTCTGCCCTGAAGCTTGCGGCAGTGACCTGAGCAAACCCTGCTGGAGCGCTCCATCTCCCCGAGAGGCCCTGGGGTTGGCCCCGGGCTGCCATCTCAGCCTAACTCTCCCCTCCCTCCGAGCCCGGCCAGCCAGCGCCTGCGGGGTACAAGGTAGCTGGACTCTGCTGTCTCGGGTCTCAGGGAGGAGACGGAGAAGACAGGTATTCAGGTCCTTCGTGTCCGCCTTGAGCGAGTGCCATGGGGCTGAGAAGGCAGAGCCGCAGCTCCCTTCACGTGGCCTCCCCAGGCGCCTTCCCCGAAGGCAGCTCCACAGCTGGGCACAAGTGGCGCGTCGCTGGCCCTGCCCAGCCCGTCGGAGTCTCTCACTCATACTGGCCAAGCCTGGGCCCCGAGCTGTGCCACGGCAGCCCCCAAGGACAGCAGGAGAGCTGACAGAGGTGACCTGGGCATTTGTGGTTGTGGATGGTGTCAGCAGACGTGGGAGGGAGAACCCAGCTGGGACACCAACGCCCAGAGGCCCCCCGGATCCTGCTCGGACACCATGCTGTTTCCTGAGAATACGCGAGCACCCGAAGTCGCACATACCCCTCACAAGTGGTACAACCACTATGGAAAACCGCCTGACGGCATCTGCTCGAGCTGACCGGGTGTATGCCCGGAGACTCGGCAGTTCCACTCCTGGGACGTGGGTGGAACGCGCACGTGGGCATGGACAAGAATGTCGGTAGCAGCTTTGCTTACCGAGCCCCAGGCCGTGAGCTGCCTAGATGCCCGTGGGCAGGAGAGTGAATGTCGCGGGCACCTTCCTACACCAGGGACACCACACAATGAGAAGGAACCACTCCGGGGCAGACGCTGGCCCAGCAGGGGGCCACAACTCTGCCACGCCGACCCATGTGGGCGGGTTCTGGGTTCACATCTGGGGACTTCCCTGAGTACCTGGGCACTGCCCGTGATCTGGGCGGGCTGGGGCTGGGGCTGGGGCTGGATCAAGGTTAGCAAGGCCCACTGGGAGTGCTGTCTGTCTCTCACTCGCGGAAACAAATGGAGGACTTTAAAAAGAAGACAGAAAATGAACTACCGCCTCGCATGGCAATGTGGGTGAGGGTCGCAGCCGTAAAGCTGCGAGAACAGACAGATCCACTCAGGCAGGTGAGAGGGCTGGGTGACAGGCCAGACTCCGGCTGGCCCTTCCAGACGGTGTTTACTGGGAGGGGGACGGGGTCTCTGGGGTCTGGACTGTTCCAACTCTTGGTCTGAGTTGTGGTAACATGAGTGTGTACTTATATAAAAGTCCATGATGCTGTATGTTTGAGATTCATGAAGTTCACTATATACATATATACATATGTACACACGCACACATGTGAACACACACACACGTGTTTTAGGCTTTTGCCATACGGTGCGTGCACTCATCAGAGACCGAAAGAGGGAAAGCAAGAAATCACCTCCCGGGGGTGGCCACGCTGCAATCCCTTCTCCTCTACTCCCCTTTCAGCATTTTAGGTACAAATGCACAAGCGCCCGGAGTTGTCTTCAAGCTGCTCAGGATGTGGGGGATGCACGGACACCCACACACGCACACGTACACACACACACGTACACATACACAGGTGCCCAGAGTGATTTCCAAGCCTCTGGTTCCGGGACTTGAGTCTCTACCAATCATGTGGAAATCTAGCACCTTAATCACCATGCCATCTGCTGGTACCCCCAGCTCACTACTTTTAATTAACACAGAAAAAAAGTTTAAAAATACTTAAACCACACCAAGATTATAGTCGTGTCAGCTCTCCTAAGTCAGCATGTAAGGGACTGGGAGGGGAGTGTGCTTAGCCGGGTGGTGGAATTATGAAGGGTTCACACTGCTATGAAAACTAATTCAAAACTCCATTCGAGGGCAGCAGATGACGTCACTGGACTCCTACATGGCTGACCACAGTTCGAGTCCTGGACCCAGTGGCTTGCAAATCACACCAGGCGCGCCCCAGACCCTGGGAGGAGAATGGAGGAGGAGTGATTGCAGGGTGGCTATTCCCCGGGGAGGGGCATTTCTCACTTTCCCTCTTGCTGTTTCTGACTCTCTCTCTCCTCGAGCCTGTACCCTAAGGCAAAAACCTCTAAAAAAAATAAAATTAAATAAATAAATAAAACTGCATTGAAAAACCGAAGGGACTTTTCAAAGCATATGTAACGACCATCTAGGACCACCTGCTGTGACGGTCCTAGAACCAGGTACCCGAAGGAGCTCTGAGATGCCCAGTCCCTGCTCCCTCCTCCCAGCCACAGTCTCATCTCCAGGCAACAACCCTCTCCACCAACCCCTGCCCTAGAGCTGAGCTTTCCCCAGCTCTGGGCACATGCTCACCGCCCCCTCAGCCCAGGCTTGGCTTCCACATGCCACCAAGTGCACCGTCAGCCCAGGGGACGAGTGGCCTGACACACCCTTGTCACCACCAGCGATCAGCGTGGAAGGCTGCCCGAGCATCCACCAGGAGCCCAGCATCCTCAGGGCAGCTGGCGGGCAGCAGGGGACAGTGTGCGGGCCCCGCCAGTGCAGGACGGGGCCCACTACTACTCAGGAGCTG